CACCCTCAACTAACCCCAAACCCGAAACCCTACCCAAGAAGCCCATCTGGGTTGTGGTATATAGCAAGTAAGGGAGGCGTTTACATGGCGCTTTGCTCCCCTAGAGGGAGGTGGCTAGTTATAAGTAGGGTCGTAAGTACCCTAAACAAGGTTAAAACCGGTTACAAGTATAGTTACCCTTCATTTTACCCCACCTGTAGCTACCCATGAACCTTCAAGTAGCCCTAAACCCTAAACCCCAAACCCTAAACCCTAAACCCCATGAACCTTCAAGGAGAGAGAGTTGCAGAGCTCTCGCCCTGCACTGTTCCGCTCCGACTTGCAACCTTGGGGGAGTCAATGAACCCTGCAGGGTTTAGGGTTTAGGGTTTAGGGTTTAGGGTTTTTTAGGGTTTAGGGTTTAGGGTTTAGGGTTTTTTTAGGGTTTAGGAAGTTTAGGGTTTGGGAAGTTTAGGGTTTAGGGTTTAGGGTCTAGGGTTCCTGGTCCAACAGTTCGCTCTTCCGGTACCAGTACCAGTGTGGATGGTCGACGGCTATGGGCAAACAAACCCAGAATTTAGGGTTGAGTTTGGGGTTTAGGCTTTAGGGTTTTTAGGGTTTTTAGGGTTTTTAGGGTTTTTAGGGTTTTTAGGGTTTTTAGGGTTTTTAGGGTTTTTAGGGTTTTGAGGGTTTTGAGGGTTTTGAGGGTTTTTAGGGTTTTTAGGGTTTTTAGGGTTTTTAGGGTTTTTAGGGTTTTTAGGGTTTTTGGGGTTTTTAGGGTTCGTTTCGTCCGCAAGGAATGCTCTTCGCGCGGGCGTGCCGTCTCCAGAGGAGACGGCAAAGCATACTCAAGCCAAAGCTCGGCGGCGGGGGCGTGTCCCATAGAGTGTAAGGGTTTAGGGTTTAGGGTTTAGGGTTTAGGGTTTAGGGTTTATAGGGTTTAGGGTACCCTAAGCCCTAAGTCCCTAAACCCTATAAACCCTATAGACCCTATAGACCCTATAAACCCTATAAACCCTATAGACCCTATAAACCCTATAGACCCTATAAACCCTATAAACCCTATAAACCCTACAAACCCTATAAACCCTAAACCCTAAACAACCCTGAACCCCTACTTCCCTACTCAGACCATGCCAGATCCTCCGCACGGTTTTGGGGAGCCTTTGGGGGGTGGTGGAGGAGGGGGGAGGGGGGAGAACTCTCCAACTCTCTCAAAGGGGTTTAGGGTTGAGGGTTTAGGGTTTAGGGTTTAGGGCCTTTTTGGGGTTTAGGGTTTAGGGCTTCGGCCTTTAAGGTTGCGGGCCTTGTTTTCTTGGCCCGACTGACTCTTCTCTTGCGGTCGATCCCACCATGTCTCTTCTTGTTTGTGTTCGTCGTGTAGCAGAACGCTCCGTTTTTTTTCGGAACTCTGCACTTTGCCAGCAAATAGTTAAGTCTCTGGGGTTTGCAAACCCATGAAACATGATGAAACCCTTGCAACACTAAACCCTGTAAACGCCTAGACCCTACACCCCAATCCCTAAACCCTACACCCCAATCCCTAAACCCTAAACCCAACCCGTAAACCCCAAACCCTACACCCAAAAAAACCCTAGTCGGAATGAACCGGCCCCAGCTGTGGCATCGAAGCATTTGGCAAAAGCACCCCGCCGCCGAGCATCTTCCAATCGATCGATTGTCCAAGCCATCTCCACACCAGCGCGGTATTTTGGGGGTTTAGGGCTTAGAGGGCTTGTAGGGCTTATAGGGCTTATGGCTTATAGAGCTTAGGGATTTTATAGGAAATTTAGGGGGTTTTTTAGGGTTGTAGCAATTTGGGGTTTAGGGCTTTCGGGCTTCTGTACTGGAGTATTGATGACTCTTGGAGTCGAAGCGCGACTTTGGTCGGAGCCATGGTTCGGTGTGACATACCTTAGACCTTTAGGGTTTAGGGTTTGGGGTTTGGGGTTTAGGGTTTAGCTTAGGGTGTAGGGTTTAGTTTAGGGCTCAGGGTTTAGGGTTTAGGGTTTGGGGTTTGGGGTTTGGGGTTTGGGGTTTGGGTTTGGGGTTTAGACATCATGTCGGGATGTCTCTGAGCCTTGGCGATGGGTGGCTTTGACATCCCATCCTTGTGCCCCTGAGAGGCTTGGGGGCAAAAGCCCTCCATCGACTCGAGAGATCGTGGATGCGGGCTCTCACGTCTTCTGGGTGCTTTGAAATCGGCAGAGCGTGGGCGTGGCGCCGCCCTGACTTCCCAAACTTTGAGGTTTGAAACCCAAGTCGTGAGACTGTACAGCAAAGAAGGCTGAGCTCTACCTCGGGCTAGAGCACTTAAGGGGGGTGGTAGAGCAACATCATCTTGAGTGCTGTTGGGGGCCCTACACCCAGAGGAGTTTGTGGAGATGTTGAGCTGGTTCGGGAGCTCGAGCCTCATGATGAGGGATTCTCTGAATTCTTCAACCCTAAACCCGAAACCCAATTGCTCCGATGCCTCCGCAGCCGGCACATACATGTTACATTATGTAGCAACTATATAACTCTATGACACTTCACATGGTATACAGTGAGTTCTATTCTAGAACGTCCGTCTTGTAGGACGTCGGAACACTACAACCTTAGTTGCCTTAGTTGAAGCGTCGCGCCGCGCGTCAGCCCTGGCGCTTGAAGTCTTCGCCAGACCTCCGGTCCGCCAGCTGCAGGTGCGGAGTCGCGCGCGTGCGCGCACATGTCGGCAAAGGCAAAGGCAAAGGCATAAGGGTCTAGGGTTTAGGGTTAGGGTGTAGGGTTATCAGGGTTTAGGGATATTAGGGTTTAGGGTTTAGGGGTTTAGGGTTTAGGGGTTTATAGGGTTTAGAAGGTCTATCGGGGTTATGATTATGAGGTCGCATGAAAGCGCGGAGAACTCCGCAACTGAAGTTTCCCCCTGTCTCAGCCGCAATGGTGCAGATCAGGGTCGCTTCCGGAGCCAGCTCAAAGGGTTAGGGTTTAGGGTTTAGGGTTTAGGGTTTAGGGTTTAGGGTTTAGGGTTTAGGGTTTGCTGTGATAGGGCGTAGATGCTGTGAAGGTTAAGCTTTGGAACAAGCTCGAAAGCATCGTGAGGCGCGAAGAGCAGCCTTGGCCCGATTCTGGAAGGCCATCTAACACTTTTCTCTGTTCGTTCAGGGTTTAGGCTTAAACTCAAGGCAACAGTCCACTTCTAAAAGGTCCCAGGGGGGGTCCCGGGGGTGTCCCAGGGGGGTGGGATCAAAAACGCAGTTTTTGGGTGTCTTTTTATTTTGAGGTGTCCAGATTAGCCTGGCAAAGCTCCCCTGGCCTGGGGCCCTAGGGGTTCAGCAATCATGCCCAGAAGCTTGTTTAACTTTAACTAGGGTCCGGTACCGGGCCTCCCAGCTGTGGGAGGCAGGCGAACGAGCTGGGTCGACTTGCGTCATGGAGGTCGGCTTCCCCAACTGTAGGCGGGCTGTCGAGGTCCAGTTCAGAAGGGGTGGGGGGGGTGGGGTGGGGGGGTGGGGGGGGTGGGGGTGGTGGGGGGTATGGGGGGTTGCGGGGTGTGGTGGGGGTGGGGGGGAACCTACGTAAGAAGGGACTCCGCAAATCCATCCAACACGCAAACCCCAAACCCCAAACCCTAAACCCTGACCCCAAACACTCGAGCCTGCTTTCACAAAACGGCTCGCGGGAGCGACTTTGGTGTCGGAGGAGCCTTGCCGAGGGAAGCGTGGTGCACCCCCCCTTCTTGGAGGGTTTAGGGTTTAGGGTTTAGGGTTTAGGGTGGCTCCGCGTCTAGGGGGTGAGGTTTGGGGCTTAGGGGTTTGGAAACAAATTAGAATAAAGGTTTGGAGTTCTCAGGGTTGCCGTTCAGGGTTCTCTTGCTCGTCCTTAGTTAGGAGTGGGTGAAGGAGGTACCTACATCTATACATACCCTTCAAGGGTACCTAATTCTCCCCATTCCCTACTACCGAGGAACCAGGGGGGTATAGGGCCCCTAAACCTTAAACCCTGAACCCTAAACCCGAATCCCTAACCCTAAACCCTAAACCGTCGTGTTGACACGCGTAGTTGGGCGCCTTGCTGCGGCCGGAGACACCCGACCTCCATACACGTCTAGGTAGGCCCTTGGGACATCTTATATGCTTTCCCTTCCGAAGCCCTAAACCCTAAACACTAAACCCTAAACCCCTAAACCCTTAAACCCTTAAACCCTAAAACCCTGAACCCTAAGACCCTAAAACCCTAAAACCCTAAAACCCTAAAACCCTAAAACCCTAAAACCCTAAAACCCTAAAACCCTACACCCTAAAGCCAAACCTTCAATCCTAATAAGCCCTGATTGAATTCAAGAGGACCCTAGTCAGGATCATTTTTTCAGAGGGTTTTCAGGGGCCAGCCTAGGCTTCGAGAGTGTCTGCGGGTTTAGGGTTTAGGGTTTAGGGTTTAGGGTTTAGGGTTTAGGGTTTAGGGTTTAGAGCGCTTCCCTTGCAGCAGCCACCTTCTGTGGGGCAAAAGGAAAAGGCAAGTACTCGTGCTCGAGTGTTTTTGGTAGGCTTGCGGGAGGTCGGGCTTTCCGTCTTGTTTGAAATCTAGGGTTGGGGGGTTTCGGGTTTTAGAGCCTTAGGGGTTTAGGGTTTTGGGGCTTTAGGGTTTAGGGCTTTAGGTGGTTTGGTGTCACAGTTTCTGCGTACTTTACGAACCCCAAACCTACCCTCCTTTGCTAGGGTGCCCCAGAATTCCATAAAGGACTCTTATGGTCTTATGGTGAAGTGCTAGGCCACATGAACCGGTTCTGAAGGCACAGCTGCAGTTGCTTCATGCACCATCTCCAGATGATGGGAGCTGCGGGCTTCAAGGTCATGTAGGGTTTGGGGTTTAGGGTTTAGGGTTTGGGGTTTAGGGTTTGGGGGTTAGGGTTGAGGGCCGAGGGTTGAGGGGTTAGGGATTCGTGGCTTTGGGTTCTCATCCTTCCTTGCTGATACCTGAATGGCCTCAAATTCAAGCTGATCCCTCAACCCTTTTGTGCAGCCAGTGTTGCAGCTGTTCAGGCGTCGATTTCAGCAGGACGATGCCCACATCTTCTGCCGCGAGGACGGGGCACCATCCCTATCCCTAAATCCTAAACCCTGAACCCTGAATCTAGTTCTCTGGTTGGGAGCCGATGGCCCATAGCCCTAAACCCTAAACCCAAAAAGCCCTCAAAAGCCCATCCCAAGAGCCAGAAATTGCCTGCCAAGCCTTAAGCCATGAAGCTTTGAGGCCTCAACCCTGTTGAGGCCCGAAGGCCACAGGGTTTAAGGGGATCATGGGTTTAGGGTTTAGGGTTTAGGGTTTAGGGTTTAGGGTTTAGGGTTTAGGGTTTAGGGTTTAGGGTTTAGGGTTGAAGGTTTAGGGTTAGGGGAGTTTACACTTTAACCTTGAACCCGAGAAGCGAGAGCAGCAACAAAGCGCGGCTGCTTTGGCAAGGACCAGATCAAGGACGAGGCGCAGCAAACCCACCGGGGGGCGTCTTCCTAGGATGCCCAGTAGTACCCTTATTCCCTTTTTGGGGGGTTTAGGTTCCCCTATAAACCCCTTGAAGCAAAAAAGGGCACCCTTTTTAAGCCTTGGTTGCTGGGCAGCCTAGCTTCAGATTCCCCGAAAAGTGTCGGAAGCGTCGTCCGCTTCGAACGGGGAGCTTTGGTGTGTGCTGTAAGGCTTGTAGGGATGTTCTTGGTGCCTGATTTGTCCAATTCCAAGTCTTGTAGACATCCCTACATCATTCAGGGCTTGGGGCTTGGGATGTTCCCCCACTATACTTACAGTCCTTCAGAGGGATTACAGTACCCCCTATTATAATCCCCCTATTAAGGACGGTTAGTATAAGGGGGAACATCCCAATTTGAGGGTTCAAAGGCTTATATAGTGATTGTCTCAGGTGTATCCATCCGAGAGGCCCTCGACGCTGAACACATTCCGTCCGTTTAGAGGCCCCGGTAACCTGAGAAGACTTCAATCATAAACCCTGAGCCCTTCTAATCAGCAGACCCGGGTCCGAAGGCCCCCTTGCTACATCCTTGTTGCCCCCTCTTACCCTACTACCCCCTATTACCCCTTCTTTCCCCCCCTTTTACTCGCCTGTTACCCTCCTTACACCCATGCTCTCTTTGGCACTGTCTTGCCAGAGGTATCCTCAGCACTCAGCTTCGTCTTCGACATGTACGAGCTCTTTGGCTTCGAATTCTCACTGGCGTCCGGCCCTCAAAGCGCACGAGGGGGGGGGGGGGGGGGGGGGGGGGGGGGGCCTTGTTGGGAGGGTTTCCGAACAAAGGGGTACCCCTTTTTGGGGGTTCCTAGAACAAGGAATATACTTTTTTTTTGGGGTACATTAAGGGTACCCCTCTTTGGGGAAATACCCTTTGGGCTTTAGAGCAGAGTGACGTGGCCTATATTGTGCGATCAGCGTCTCTCACGGCTTCTGCAGCTTATGTTGAGATCCAAGATGGTTGGTTGCTGGGGAACTCCTAAAGGTGACTGTGGTTTTTGGAGAGCTGTGACACGCTCCAGTGCGTTCTTGGATGCAAAAAAGGGACGTCTGCACTTCGACGTTAAGTTCACGAAGGTCTGTCTGGTGTCGCACACCGCCATAGAACCAATCATTTGAGTCGAAGGGGTGAAGCCTCCCTAAACCCTAGACCCCTATAACCTTATAACCTTATAATCCCTGGCCCTAGAACCCTATAAGCCCTATCCATGCTACAAGCAACTGGCCCTACGCCGTTCACCGGATCAGTAGCGCCAAAAGCCATGCATGGATGGGGGGGGGGGTGAGGGGTGTTTGAAACGAGAGTTTCCTGTTTGGGGACCTTCTATGCAAGATCAGGAGGTACCATGAAGCATGAGAAGGGTGTGTTTCAAGATGCCTCTGGTGACTCTAGAGTGACCCCCCCCGAGATGAGACCTCAGATCCCAAAAGGCCCCCAAAACAGCCTAGACCCCCTAAACACCCCCTAGACGCTCCCCAGACCCCCCTCAACCCGAACCCGAAGCCCTAAGACCCCTAAAACCCCTAAAACCCCTAAAACCCCTAAAACCTTAAACCCTAAACCCCAAACCCTAAACCCTAAACCCCGCAAATAGACTTTTTTTCAGCGAGTCCCAGGCTCAGCACTCGGCCGAAGAAGGCGCTCGGCGGCCAAGAGTCCGCGGCCTCGGTACCCCACAGCTTTCAGCGTTTTGTGAGGGTTTAGGGTTTAGGGTTTAGGGTTTAGGGTTTAGGGTTTAGGGTTTAGGGTGTAGGGTTCAGGGTTTAGGGTTTAGGGTTTAGGCTTGGGATGTTCCCCCTGATACTGACAGTCCTTAATAGGGATTGTAGTACCCCGTACCCCCCCATTATGTCCCTACTAAGGGCTGTTAGTACAAGGGGGAACGGTTTAGTTTTTTTGGTCTAGGTGTACAGTTCGTAAGGTTATTCCCGAGATTTGAGATGTAGAGTGAGGAGTCATAGATGCAAAGAACATAGAAGCACCATATCCTAGGGGTACTGATGGGAAATGATGAAGGCAGTCAGGTGGGAGTGTGGAGTTCAAAGCTTCCCATGTCTTTGGGGCTGAACTTTTTGGGTTTTTAGGGTGTAGGGCTTAGGGTGTAGGGTTTAGGGTTTAGGGTTTTAGGGGTTTCAGGGGTTTAGGGTTTAGGGCGTAGGGTTTAGGGTTTATTAGGGCTCCCTGTTGGCTGCAAGGTGACCAAAACAATGGTGAAGACCTTTTTCTACGAAGGGAAAACCGGGGGAACATTACTTCCCCGTTGCTTAGTGTGGTCATCCGAAGGGCCAGAAGGGCGTAGGGTTTAGGATTATATAGCGTTTAGGGTTTAGGGTTTTTCCATGAACTGACATGGAACGGCATGTTTGCATTGACGTCGGCTACCCAGCACTTCGGTATGGGGAGGGGTTTGGCCGGTTAGGCACGTCCATGGGCGGCTGAATCCTGTGGATGTCGTTCGGAAGAGGGTCTGACTCAAGATCATGACATGTGGGGTCCTGAGCCAAGCGCCTTCAAAGCCCGTAGCGTCCCTTGGCCCACGCCTACCTTAACACCGCGAAGACAAGATGGACATTTCCCAAGGTAGCCCCTGGTGCCCTAATGCCCTTACTTGAGGAGCCCCCGACAAGGATACACCTATTACGTACCCCTAAACCGAATATACAAAGGTTCGGAGTCAACAGGGTGGGGCGGTCACACGCTGCATGGCACCGACTGCAGAGCAGCCTCCGGGCGAGGCCACGCAAAGAGCAGGTTTCGCTTGTGGGGGATTGGTTCCCTCAACCCTAAACCCTGCGCCCCCGGCCCTCAGCTGCAGCCTGGAACGGTTACAGTCTTGAGGAGTCTACAGGGCTTTGGTGTATGGTACGTGTACAGGTACAGTAATCTGGCCAGTCCTTACGACAGGGCTTGGCTTGAGGCGTATTGCTGTACCTTACAGCAGCACTGTTTAGTACCTGGTATACTTCAAAGCCTAAAACCCTAAACCCTAAACCCTAAACCCTAAACCCTGAACTCCAAACTCCCTAAGCCCTAAACTCCCTAAAGGGTCCAAACATTGAGAGGGTACCACTTCGGCGTTCAGGCCAGCAGGACAGATCAGCTCAGTATCAGACACAGAGGGTCCATATGCACTACTATTATGCAATTAGGGTTTACGGTTTAGGGTAACCCTATGTAGAAGGGTTTTTGGGTACCCAATGCCACACTGGTACTACACATGGACCCTCTGGGAGACACAGCCGACGATCGAACCCATCAGCTTGCTGTCCCGTGCAGGGCTGGGGTTAATTCAGCGAGCGTGGACATCTACATGTCGATCGCGACAGTCCTTAGTCCTTAGCCCCGAACCCCGATCTCTGAGCTGCACCAAAGCCCCATATCCCTCAACCCTAAACCCTAAGATTTCCAGGCCGTGATATTTCCGAAGAGGACGTGGCCCTTGCGATATCTGACAGAACAGCAGCCCCCTTGCCCGCACGTGTTGGGGGCGCATGAACGTTTGGGGGCTTTCTGGTCGGGTTGGGGAATAGCTGATCTGGGGGGGGGGGTGATAAGAGAGCGATGGACATTTTCCCGGTTTGTGGGTTTCAGGGACCGGGATGAGCAGTGTAAGTCGAATTCGTGTGGGACAGGACCCACGGTTTATGTTCCGAATCTACGAACTTTGTAGGGGGCCGAGGGCAGAACTGGGAAGTTATAATATAAGTGGGGTTAGAGAAGTAGGGTAAATATAGGCATATAGCTGGATATCACCCTATTTAGGGTACTTGTAACCCTACTTCTAACTACCCATAAGCCTAAACTCTAAACTCTAAACCCTAAACCCTAAACCCTGAACCCTAAACCCTAAACCTGAAACCTTAAGCCCTACCCATGAAACCTCCAAGCAGTGCCGCATGATAGATGCGTCTGACTTCGGAAGCTCCTGAGACTCAGATGCCCCCCGAGGTGCCTTGCATGGGAGCTTAACTCGTAGGCTTAGGGTTTAGGGTTTAGGATTTAGGGCTACTTGGGGTTGTTTTTCAGAGGGTTCTAAGGGCCGTCCCAGTAAGTTTACTTGGGCTTTATAGTCCATGTACCTGAGTAATGATTTTAGAAGTATAGTATAGGCTAGGGCATACGACCTCACATGTTGAGTTTCCTAAACCCTCAACCCCTCAACCCCTCAACCCCAAATCCCTTGGCTCCCCAAGGTATGAGTCCTGGGCTGCGCGAGGCGTCCTCGTCGTGCCCGGGGCTGTGGATGCTGCGAAGGCGAAGCGCGCGGCTGACGCCATCTACCAGCGCCTCGGTGGGGCATTCGGCATCTCTGAAGGACCCATGCGGCCGAACACCTGGGATCATGAAATACATGGATCCTAAACATTGTAAAGCCTAAGCCCTTAATTCATGTAAGAATACATTGTAAAGATCATAAACGCGAAGTCTTAAACCCCTTCGAAACTAAAGCTAAAGGCAATATGGATCAACAAACCCTTTCAGGGCTTACGTAGCCCCCAAAGTAGCTCAATGAACCCTGATTGTGTTTATGGACCATAAGCCCTAAACCCTGAACCCTGAACCCTTGACCATGGGGTGTTCGTAGTACGGAACCCTAAACCCTAAACCCTAAATCCTAAACCCTAAACCCTAAACCCAGTTTTTGGGTTCCCTTTGGTCCTCAAGGGCGACGGTGGAGCCACAATCTCTTGGCGAGCGCGAGGTGTGAACAAGTGTGTTTCTCTGTGCCCTATGGGGGGATTCTCTAAAGGAGGCCCCCCTTCTATGGAACCCTAAACCCTAAACCCTAAACCCTAAACCCTTAACCTATGCGGCGGGCCCTACTATTGAGGGTACCCCAAGAAGGGACTCTAATTTTGAGACATGACCATCTGAATGAGCAAGACCAACCGACCAGAGCCGATCTCCGAAGACGGCTTGTCGCCAAGAGTTTCAGGGTAGTAGAGCTGCGTCGTTCCTAAACCCTAAACCCTATCAAAGGGCGAGCCCAAACATATAAGGGAACTTTGTTCAAGTTTAGGATTTACGATTTTAGGGTTTAGGGCTTTAGGGTTTTAGGGTTCTAGGGCTTCTTAGGGTTCTAGGGCTTTTTAGGGTTGTAGGGTTTTAGGGTTCTAGGGCTTCTTAGGGTTTTAGGGTTGAGGGAAGACGGCTTGGTGGGATGAAGGGAGTAGCAAGGGCTTTCGCGCCGAGGTTCGTCGGTGCCCGCCGGGAAGAGCCAGAGAGCTGGTGCCTCCAACAGCAAACTGGGTTTTGGAGTACCATACTTTAATACTTTTTTTTGGAGTACCATACGTTAATACTTTTTTTGGAGTACCATACTTTAATACTTTTGTTTTGGTTCTGGGTTCCTATTCTAACTACATATACCTAAAAAGTACGCACTTTGCTTTCCAGGGTCTACTCCAAAAGTAGGGACAGATGGGGGACGTGACGCGAGGGTTTGGAGCCATAGGCCTTAAAAACCCTGGGCCTTCAAAACCTTGCAACACCTTAAACCCTAAAACCCTGTCAATCCTCAAACCCCATGAAACCTAGACCCCTAAAGCCTACAAACACCAAACCCTAGAACCCTGCAGCATACACCCCATTCTGTTTGGCACGTCGGTTTTTTTGTCCCCCTAAACCCTAAACCCTAAACCCTAAACCCTAAACCCTAAGCCCTAAGCCCTAAACCCTAAACCCGAGGTACGAGAACAAGCTGGATATCTATGCGGATACGCTACCCGATGGGAAGCATCCACACCATGGACCCTGTGGAGCCTTGCCGTCAAGAATGGGGGAGGGGCTTTTCGGGTGGATTTGAACCCTAAACCTAGCGTTTAGGGTTTAGGGTTTAGGGTTTAGGGTTTAGGGTTTAGGGTTTGCTGCCCAGCAACTGCAAACACGCTTCGCCCCTCTTTAGTCTTCTGTTGGAGCACTTCAACGCATCTTTCCCCTTGCCTGAGTTTAGGGTTCTTAATGCTGGGGGGTTCATCGGGGGTCGGTACCTAGGGAACCTTATAAAACACTTAGGGAGCCTTCGGGAGTTGTGGTGAGTAGTAGGGAACCTTGGGTTGCATACCCCCCTTGAGCCCCGCCCTCCCTTAGGAAGCCTAGAGCTAAGGGATGGTCCAGATGTATCATCACCACACGCTGTGGGACCTTCGACAGGCGCTCTCTCAGCTGCCATTCGGTACGGAGTCTCAGGGCTTTATGTCTAAAGTGTCGACGGCTCACACCCACCACACTGTTGTGGCTCTGAGTTGCTTCTCTCACAACGACCGTACCCACCATCACGTTAGAAATCGGCAAGCTCCAACATCTCGAGTTCAAGGCCCAGCTCCTTTTAAGATTCCTTACAGAATAGATTCCAGACCGCCTCACACGCACCTGTATCGGGAAGAAGAGCAGACGCAAATATCGCCCGACAGGATCCCAACATTCACGCGATTTTCGCGGACATCTACGGCACCGAGAAGCTTTTCGTGACAACCGATCGCATCTTGCCTATAATATAGTTACTATAAACCCTAAACCTAGAAGTATATATATATATATACTATATTATAGTATATATATATATATATGTATATACTTCTGGGTTTAGGGTTCAGGGTTCAGGGTTCTTAGGGACTTTAGCACCGAATCCCCCTCAAAACAAGGGCCTCAGCCC